GGGGGGGGGGGGGGGGGGGGGGGGGGGGGACTCAGGAATGTCTGGCATGCAGGTGTCCTGGGAGCACAGCCTGGGGTGTGTCTGGCCAAACAGACCGGACTGGTTCCTCTTCCTCTCGGAGCACTTTGTGGGGGCAGGCCCCATTTGGACCTTCTTTTCCTCTCTCCTCTGGTTACCCCACCCCACCCATAACCTCCAGCTTCCGAGATTAGTCCTGGACCCGGTGGAGATTTTCCACTGCCCTGTCGCTCTGGTGACGATTGGGCTGTATCCTGGAGACCAAGGCGATAATGTAATCTGATTTTGTAAACGAACTCCCTGGGGGGATTTAGATTAAACTGCTGATGGAAAGTCACTGGCCCTTGCTTGTCAAGGGGAGAGGGAAAAATTTCCCCCCTCCCGTTCCCTCCCCCTCGGCTTGTACCACCCTCTGAGAGTGTTCCTTTTTTTTTGAGTCTAAGCACAAAATGCATTGTTTGGGCAAATATTTGTTCAAGCCATTTGTCGGAGGAGGAGCAGCAGCAGCATAGTTCCAGGGTGACATCCCCTCTGGGTCCTGCTGTTCCATCTCAGTTTGTCTGCTCTGGGCGGCAGCATCTCTTCTGATCATGTTGGCTTCCAGGAGGGAAGGGCAGCTGCATGGAGGAAGGGCAGAAAGCGACTGGCAGAAAAGTTCCCGCTTCGAAGACTTTGGAACAGGGCCCTGCGCATTTAGCATCTTAAGACTTTTATCCCGCCTTTTCTACAAGGAGCTCCGGCCAATTAGACAGTCTGTCTAGGACAAGTTTAAGCGAAGAGAATGAATCATCTGCTGAGTTTTACAGTTTGCAATTCTGATTGATTGATTATATGTCATCAAGTTGTTTTTGACTCCTAGCGACCACATATGTAGATGCTCTAATCCAACTTCTCGCTTCCTGGTGCCCTACAAACATTTAGGGCAGTGTTCTTCAACCTTGGCAGCGTTAAGATGTGCAGACTTCAACTCCCAGAATTCCCCCCGCCGCCCACGGGTGAGGGTGGGGGGGGGGTGATGGGTGGGTGGGTGCTGCGCTCTCACTGTCCCTCCGGGCGGGTACACAGCTGCTTTGGTGGGGGTC